CTAAAAATACAAAAAGTATCTGGGTGTGGTGGTGCACACCTGTAGTCCCAGCTACTTGGGAGGCTGAGGCAGGAGAATCGCTTGAACCTGTGAGGCAGAGGTTGCCGTGAGCTGAGATCACACCACTGCACTCCAGCCTGGGCCACAGAGCAAGATTGTCTCAAAAAAAAAAAATTATATTTAGAAAGGCAAAAGGAAAAGAATTATGGCAAGGTGATGGTAATTTAGTCTGAACCTTAACCATTTTTTGGGCTGAAAAAGTTGCCAGCCTAGAAAAATGGGGAATGAAGGCAAATACAGTAAGTCCTCATTTAATGCCATGGATAGATTCTTGGAAACTGCAACTCTAAGAGAAATGACATCTAGCAGGTCTTTGAATAACGTTCTTTTGTTCAACATCATTTCCTTATAACGGCAGTCCCCAACCTTTCTGGCCCCAGGGACCGGTTTCCTGGAAGACAATCTTTCCACGGGTGGGGCGGGGGCGAGATGGGCTGGTTTCAGACTGAAACTGTTTCACCTCAGACCATCAGGCATTAGATTCTCATAAGGAGTGTGCAGCCTAGATCCCTCCCACGCACAGTTCACAGCAGGGTTTGCACTCCTATAAGAATCTAATGCCACTGTGGATCTGGCAGGAGGCAGAGCTCAGGTGGGAAGGTGGCTGCTCGCTCGCTCGCCTACTGCTCACCTCCTGCTGTAGGGTCCAGTTCCTAACCACAGACCACTGGTCTGTGACCCGGCGACCACTGCCTTATAACATGGATGAGAAAAAACAACTGGATTCATCATACATCACTTTGTTTAAAGTTCAGTTTCCAATAACTTATCAACATCAAATGATGACTTGTTATAGTATTTCTGTTGAAAGATGACTTTCACAGATTTTATTTTTTTTTATTTATTTATTTTAGTTTTTAGCAATGGGGTCTCACCCTGTCACCCAGACTGCAGTGCAGTGGTGCATTCATAGCTCACTGCAGCCTTGAACTCCTGGGCTCAAGTGATCCTTCTACCTCAGACTCCTGAGTAGCTGGGACGACAGGCATGTGCTACTGTGCCCAGCCAACTTAAATACTTTTAAAAAATGAACGAAACATGGGAACCTAAAGTTTCAACAATAGAACTCACAATAAATTCCAGAGTGTCAATATAATGGAAATTTTACACAGGCATTAGAAGTTTTATTTACAATTAATTGTTGGCAAATTCTTAACAAATATTCATAACATCAAGTAGAAAAAACAAATGACAATCATCTAAATAATAATCTCAAGAATATTTTTTGAATAAAGGAGCTATACAAATTATATGTATGTGCATACATGAAAAGAAAATGAGACATTTAATAGTAAAATATTTCCAAATGCAATACCAGTAGTACTGTTTTCTTCTTAACAGAAGTGATAATCATTTTAGAAAAATTGGAAAATATACTTTTTTTTTTTGAGACGGAGTCTCGCTCTGTCGCCCAGGCTGGAGTGCAGTGGCCGGATCTCAGTTCACTACAAGCTCCGCCTCCCAGGTTCCCGCCATTCTCCTGCCTCAGCCTCCTGAGTAGCTGGGACTACAGGCGCCCGCCACCACGCCCGGCTAGTTTTTTGTATTTTTTAGTAGAGACGGGGTTTCGCCGTGTTAGCCAGGATGGTCTTGATCTCCTGACCTCGTGATCCGCCCGTCTCGGCCTCCCAAAGTGCTGGGATTACAGGCTTGAGCCACCGCGCCCGGCCAAAAATTGGAAAATATACTAAATATAATCCTAAAAAGATATACAGAGAAAATTAAGTGTTCAAATATATGTTTTACTATTATCTTTTAGCTAATGGAGAAAAGAGAAAAGTTAACTTAGAACTGTAAGAACTGGCTGGGCGCAGTGGCTCACGCCTGTAATCCCAGCACTTTGGGAGGCCGAGGTGGGCAGATCACCTGAGGTCAGGAGTTCGAGACAAGCCTGGCTAACATGGTCAAACCCCATCTCTACTAAAAATACAAAAATTAGCCAGGTGTGGTGGCGGGCACCTGTAGTCTCAGCTACTCCGGAGGCTGAGGCGTGAACCTGGGAGGCGGAGTTTGCAGTGAGCCGAGATCATGCCACTGCACTCCAGCCTGGGCGACAGAGCAAGACTCTGTATTCAAAAAAAAGAGCGGTAAGAACTGACTTTTTCTTAAGGTAGAATGAATTTAGATGATTTACATTTTAGTAATACACAATGCCATTCACTGTTTAATAAATAAATATTCATGAATACAAAATGGTTTGATGCTGCTACTACATACCTGACGTTGCCGACCAAAGAAGAGAGAAAATACTGATATTCGCCAGAAACATCCTTCGACCGTATAGGAAAAAATGTGTTATCTTCAGGAACCTCCAAAGCCACACGCTTTCCTATTTTTGATGATTTATATAGCCGAAAGTTTCTATTTCTTGTATAAACTCCTACATCAAAAAGTAATAAAACAATATGAAAGCATGTTTTCTGTGATTAGTTTTATAGTCAGCAAATATTCAATTTTTATATAGCATTAATAAAAGAAGTATTTTCTACATGTAGCTGTAAACAAAATAAACAAAATTAAAGCACTATATAAATTAAAATAAACTGCAGTCAGCATGGAGGAATGCCACATTCTGAAATAGCAAACTCAATTATTCTGCAGCAATTCTGCAACTGAAACAAATGGAAAAGCTGGATGCAGGTATTGGAAAGTTTGAGACAACCAGAGAGCTTCTAAGACAGTGAGGTTGTGCCATGCCAAATCCCAGAGAAAAGGGAAGGACCAAAATCAAACAAATATCTAGAATAAATCTAACAACATATGGATAAGATTTCTATTCAGTAAATTATAAAACATTATAGAGAAAAATTAGAGAATCCCTAAGTAAATAGATGGGCCTACCATGTGCATAGATTGGAAGACTCAGTATTACAAAAATGTCAACGCTCCCCAAGTTGATCTGTAGAGTCGAGGCAATCCAAATAAAAATTCTAGCAGGGTTTGTTTGCGTAAACTGGCAAACTGACTCTAAAATTTAAACAGAAGTGCAAAAGCTCAAGAATAACCAAGAAATTTCAAAGAACAAATTTGGAGGAATTGTTTTTCCTAGATATAAAGACTTACAACAAAAGCGTATTAGACAGTGTGGTGCCTATCTAATATATAAAACTATATTAGACAGGAATAGATCAATAGAACGATGAAGCAGAACAGGGTCCAGAAACAGACCAAAATATATACAGCCACTGTATATGGCAAAGGTGGCACTGCTGAGCAGTAGGTAAAGGACAGTCATTTCAACAAACAGTGCTGAGCCAACCGGATATTCACAAAAGAAAACATGAATCTTGACTGCTCCTCACTCAATAAGCAAATCCTTTCCAAGTAGACTGTAAATCTAAACATAAAAGCCATGCCAGGTGCAGTGGCTTGTGCCTGTAATCCCAACATTATGGGAAGCCATGACAGGAGGATCACTTGAGGCCTGGGCAACATAGCAGACCCTGTCTCTACAAAAAATTAACAAATAAAAAAATTGTGTTGCTCTATGATACTTAGAGAGAGAGAGAGAAAGAGACAGAGAGGGGGACAGTGAAAGGAAAGGAAAGGGGCAGGGGAGGGGCAGAAGGGAAGGGGGAAGGGAAGGGGGAAGGAAAGGAGAGGGGAAAGGAAAGTGAAGGGGGAAGGGAAGGGGGAAGAGAAGGGAGTAGGGAAGTGGCAAGGGAAGGGAAAAGGAAAGGAAAGGGAAGGGGAAATGAAACGGAAGAGGGAAGGGAAGGGGGAAGGGAAGGGGAAGGGAAGGGGAAGTGAAGGGGGTAGGGAAGGAGGAAGGGAAGGGGAAAGGAAAGGGAAGGGGAAAGGGAAGGGAAGGGGTAAGAGAAATGCGAAGGGGAAGGGGGAAGGGAAATGCGAAGGGGGAAGGGGGAAGGGAAATGCGAAGGGGGAAGGGAAGAGGGAAGGGAAGACGGAAGGGGGAAGGGAAGAGGGAAGGGAAGGCGGAAGGGGGAAGGGAAGGGGGAAGGGAAAGGGGAAGGAAAGAGAAGGGAAGGGAAGAGGAAGTGAAGGGAGAAGGGAAGGGAGAAGGGAAGGGAGAAGGGAAGGGAAGGGAGAAGGGAAGGGAAGGGAGAAGGGAAGGGAAGGGAGAAGGAAAGGGAAGGGGGACGGGAAAGGGAGAAGGAAAGGGAAGGGGGAACGGAAAGGAGGAGGGAAGGGAAAGGAGGAGGTAAAGGAAGGGAGGGGAGGGAAGAAATTGATTTAAAAATGTGGTCGTATGCACTTGTAGTTCTAGCTACTGCTGAGGCTGAGGCAGGAGGATTGCTTGAGCCCAGGAGTTCAAGGCTGCAGGATCATACCACTGCACTTCAGCCTGGGCAACAGAATGAGACCTTGTCTCTAAAAAATAATGAATTAAACATAAACATAAAAGGCAAAACAATAAGCTTTTAGAAGATAAAGAAGAAAAGCAAAAGAATACCTTCATGGCTTTGGGATAGGCCAAGTTTTTTTAACAGAATGCAAGAAACACTGACCACAGAGGAAAACACTGATAAAATCAGACTACTACTACTATTTAATGACTTGTGTTCCTCAAAGACATGACTAAGGGTGCAAAGACAACCACAAACATACACTACAGTTTACCCTTGAATAACAAGGGTTTCAGCTAAATAGCACCACTTATATGTGATTTTTTTTCTTTCTTCTTTCTTTTTTTTTGATACTGAGTCTTGCTCTGTTGCCCAGGTTGGAGTGCAGTGGTACGAACTTAGTTCACTGCACCCTCTGCCTCCCAGGTTCGAGTGATTCTCATGTATCAGCCTCCCGAGTAGCAGGAATTACAGGCATGCACCACCACGCCTGGCTAATTTTTGTATTTTTAGTAGAGATGGGGTTTCACCATGTTGGTCAGGCTGGTCTTGAACTCCTGACCTCAAGCAATCCACCTGCCTCGGCCTCCTAAAGTGTTGGGATTACAGGCGTGAGCCAAATTTTTTTCAATAAGTATATTGGAAACTTTTGGGGGGACTTACAACAATTTGAGAAAACTCACAGATGAACCATATAGCCTAAAAAATTAGGAAACGTTAGAAAATAATTAAAAATAATTAGAAAAAGTGTTCATGAATGCATAAAATATATGTAGATGGCTAGTCTAAGTTATCATTTACTGCCATAAAATGTACATAGGTCTGTTATAAAAAAGTTAAAATTTATCCAAACATATGCACACCCTTGCAGACTGTACATGATGCCATTCACAGTTGGGAAAAATCTAAACAAATGTAAAGACAGAGTATTAAATCATAACTGCGTAAGATTAACCATAGTACATACTACACTACCACAATAATTTCTTAGCCGCCTCCTCTTGCTATTGCAGTGAGCTCAGGTATCTGCCTACAACACGGCCTGATGCCAGTCCTCTCCATCTGAGCAGGTCATTACACCAATCAATTGCGTTTCAGTCAAAAGTGATCCTTGGCCGGGTGCGGTGGCTCACGCCTGTAATCCCAGCATTTTGGGAGGCTGAGACGGGTGGATCACAAGGTCAGGAGATCAAGACCATCCTGGCCAACACAGTGAAACCTCGTCTCTACCAAAAATACAAAAAATTACCCGGGCATGTGGTGGGCGCCTGTAATCCCAGCTACGCGGGAGGCTGAGGCAGGAGAATGGTGTGAACCCAGGAGGCGGAGCTTGCAGTGAGCCGAGATCGCGCCACTGCACTCCAGCCTGGGCGACAGAGCAAGACTCTGTCTCAAAAAAAAAAAAAAAAGAGTAGGGTATCAGTAATGAAGATTTTGGGAAGTCAAAAGTTATACATGGATTTTGATCTACACAGAGAAGTTGGTTCCCCAAGCCCTGCATTGCTGAAGAGTCAACTGCATGTGATTCCAATTACACAGTAAAAATACAGGCAAAACTCACCCACAGAGTTAGAGGACAGAATAGTTGTTACCCCTGGGACAGAGGGAGGGGTCCTGACTGGAAGGGGGATGAAGTTGGGGGTCCTGGTCATCTATCTCTTATCTTGGGTAGTGTGGTGACAAGGGGTGTTTATTCTGTAATCAAGTATATATTTTTCTGTATAAATGTTATACTTCAACAAAAAAGTTTCTTAACAAGATTTCAGTATATACTATGAAATTTCTGAACTTTCCAAGGACGGTTTAGGAAACGACTTCCCCACCCTCTCTGGATATGTGAGTAAATCCAGGCATATGTATCAAGAGCACCAGGGAGATTTTCTTGCTAGTCCGGTAGCCTGACTTCCAAGGTTAGGTGTGCTGTGACCTGGGGTACTGTGTTATACTGGGGTAGAAGTAGAGACAGGTGCTGGCCACTGCTGCTCTCCCTGGATCAACTTCCTGTTATGCACTCGGCCTCACTGACTGCAGGCTAGTCCCGCCCGGAGACGACATCCTGCTCATAAAGCAAAACCTGTCAGGCTTGGAAGAAGGTGCCTGTGCCTGTGTGACTGCTCCACCTCACACTCCTCTGTCTTTCCAAGTTCTGGTGCTCGATTGCCAGGGGTGCTAGAGAAACATGAAATCCAGCAGGAACACGTCCCTAATCTCGGTACACTGTTGGCCTGGGATTCTGACCTATACCTTAAACCTACCTTCCCTCAGCCTTTACACACTGAAGCTCTCCGAGGTGTTCAAAGCCAGCAGCAAAAATGTTGCTGTCTGGCGGGTACAATGGCTCACACCTGTAATCCCAGCACTTTGGGAGGCTGAGGCAGACAGATCATGAGGTCAGTAGTCTCAGACCAGCCTGGCCAACATGGTGAAACCCCATCTGTACTAAAAATACAAAAATTAGCCGGGCGTGGTGGTACGCACCTGTAATCCCAGCTACTCAGGAGGCTGAGGGAGGCGAATCATTTGAACCCGGGAGGCGGAGCTTGCAGTGAGCCGAGACCGCGCCACTGCACTCCAGCCTGGCGACAGAGCAAGACTCCGTCTTAAAAAAAAGAAAAAGAAAGAAAGAAAAAGAAAAAACCTGCTGCTGTTATGGCTTTTGAAATCACAAGCTAGGGCCTCAGTATAAAAATGAGGTGCAGTTCACCATATGGGAGCTGTTGTGTTAGGGTCTTGATTGGCCTGTTGTTGAATTATGCTCAAGTCCTGTCAGCCCAGGGCTTCTGACATCCTCAGGCTCTGAGACCAAGGCCTAGCAAAGCCACACTGGGTTAAGAAATCACTGGTTTCAACAGAGCACGAAAGCTGATGAAATGGGCCCTGCCACGACCACTGAGATCTTCGGCGAGGAAAGCATCCAGGCTCACTGCGCCACGTGAGTACTGCTTTTACACTGGGTCTGTTCTTTAAATGTCTGTACTCTGACTTAACCTCTCAGCAGTCGTGGAGGAAGCTGGTCCAACTGTTCCTATAAAACTCCCTCAACAGGAATCCTCTGGACACGCAGAGCAGAAGGCAGCCACAGCCATCCTCTGCTGGAGCTCAGGCCGGTCTGGACCCCTCTAAGATCTCTGGAGAAAAACCTCACAGATTCCCAGCACCTGAACTCGCTGCTTGCATCCTGCTGGGGACTTGGGCAGTGGAAGAAGCGAGAATCCCAAGCATGGTGACGAGTGGGCACCAACCTGTCACTCACGAAAGCACCAGGACCGTCTGATAGAGACAGCTGTCAATCTTACTTACCAAGATCCACAAAAAGATGCTTCTCTCCCACGTTATTCTTCACAACTAGAAACGAAAGGTCAGGACTGCTTTGCTCAGCTGACCCCAGCCTCTCCAGTTTCTCTGAATTCAATGTCCAGCTTTCCCCTGTAGCCTTCTCTGTGAAAGAAAATTCTTGTCTTGCAGGTGCTTCCAAAAAATGGGGAAATCCGTGGCCTGTTGTCTCTGAAGCGCTATCATCATCTTCACTGCCAAGCAAGTCAAGAGCAGGCTGCAAAATTTTTCTCAAAAAATTACCTAAGGAAAAAAGCTGTTATGATTCACCCGATTCTTCTTTTCCACACACCATATCTTAAGGTCTAGCCATGAATCCACACATGACAATTTTTTTTTTTTTGGAGACAGAGTCTCACTCTGTCGCCCAGGCTGGAGTGCAGTGGCCGGATCTCAGCTCACTGCAAGCTCCGCCTCCCGGGTTTATGCCATTCTCCTGCCTCAGCCTCCCGAGTAGCTGGGACTACAGGCGCCGCCACCTCGCCTGGCTAGTTTTTTGTATTTTTAGTAGAGACAGGGTTTCACTGTGTTAGCCAGGATGGTCTCGATCTCCCGACCTTGTGATCCGCCTGTCTCGGCCTCCCAAAGTGCTGGGATTACAGGCTTGAGCCACCGCGCCCGGCCCACACATGACAATTTTATACAGAAAACCATTTTTTAATTTCTGATTTCAAAACCAAGTTGCTATAAATTGTTACACGCCAGTCCTGTGACTTACTTCCTTTTGTGAAATCGTTTACCTTTTCAAGTCCATGACTTGGGAGCCTGGTGTCAGATGTAAACAAATCATCTTAGAAGGGAAAGTTCATTTGAGAAGATGTGTCAATGCTGCCGGTAGGGGCCTGAGCCTAAGAGGCTGTCATCCAGAAAACACTACTTATTAACACATACTGGGACATTCAATGATTAAAGAATGAAGGGCCTCGTGCCCTTAAGGGATCATAAAAATAATAATAATGAAGAATGAAGGTTTATATAAGGAAACTACTGCTCAGCTAACAGACAGAAGCACTGAGGAAATCTCAGGGAGTCAGGGTGCTGGCAAATTTCTCAAGAGCTTATTTTCTCTCCTTTACCTGGCACGACATGCCCTGCAAACCCTGGCTTTCACAGCCATCAGCCCCCAGGCTGCTGCTCCTACCTCTGCCTCAAACTGGGCACAAAATGGACTACGGCCTCGGAGCTAACATCCACAACAAAAGCAATTGGATACATTTACTGTACTTCAACATTTATTCTAAAAACTCTGAGTAACAGTAGTCCTATCTGTACCATGAAAAGTTGGTAAGAAAATCCAGAACTTCTTCGAACTCTCACATTTTACACCATGAAATCAAATAATTTGGCTATTAAGTTGCTTCATGTATACCAATACTCAAGAAATGCAATACTGTAAGAAAAAGTTAATTTTAATCTGTAGAACTGTTATTGTTTAGATTCATTCTTCACTTTATTTACCAGAAAGGCTTGGGTCCTTACATTATAACAAATGCATGCTCTAAATTCAAAATTTTTTCTTCACATTAGATTTTATTACTTGCCTACTCAGCCAGCTGTGGTGGCTCATGCCTATAATCGCAGCATTTTGGGAGGCTGAGGCAGGCGGATCACTTGAGATCACTTGAGACCAGCCTGGCCAACATGGTGAAATCCCGTCTCTACTAAAAATATAAAAATAAGTTGGACGTGGTGCTGGGCACCTGTAATCCCAGCTACTTGGAGGCTGAGGCAAGAGAACTGCTTGAACCTAGGAGGCGGAGGTTGCAGTGAGTCAAGATCATGCCACTGCACTCCAGCCTAGGTGACAGAGTGAGACTCTGTCTCACAAAAAAACAAAAACAAAACAAAACAAAAAAATTACTTCCCTACTCAAAGAAACAAATCCAATTTCTTACAAAGCACTAAATGTCAAAATCGAAACAAAAGCATTTGGTCTCGCAATGATATGCTGGTACGGGATGGATTCCTTCTGGAATGAGGGAGAGAAAGTAAACACCAAGTGGAAAGAAATCACAACACATCAAAGGAAAACAAAGCAATCTAAACCCAAACTGATAAAGCTAATTTTCCTGAAAACTTAACATTGCAGTTACTTGACCCCACACAATAAGAGAAGAGAGTGCACGGTTGCAGAAACGGAGGCAATGGCAGTGCTGGGGAGGCCACAGGCCTTGGAACCCTGGCATGGAGCAACCATGGCCAGGACCATGACATGAGGCCTGTCACCAGCATCAATGCTAACACACTGGCCCCAGCAAACCACACTGCTTTCTACTTCCCTTCCAGGATCTTATTGCTCCCAACCCTCATGAGGACACGAACTATCTTATTTGCTGGAAATAACTCAAAAGACTAGTCGGTCGGAAATTTGAGGTATGACAGCAAACTGGCAGAAGAGTATTTTTAGGCAGATCAAGAGCTAGGATCTCTTATATTTAACTGAATTCTCTTCTCCGAAAGGCTGACAACAGCAACTAGAAATGTCATCCAAAGATACACTAAGGGAAGAAAAAAGGAAAAATTCTGAATCACTTCATACTCTCTGCACCTGTGGCTCTGGCATCTCCTAATTCTAGGGCAAAGGGGCTGAGGTGACAGCCCAGTTACCAGGCCTGATCACATCTCTCCAGCCACACTAGACCATTCACTGTCCCCCATTATTAGCCACACACTCTTATCTCCATAGCTTTGCTTATGCTGTTCTGACTGTAAAGCCTTTCTTACCTTTGACTATACAATGAAATCTGACTGAAAGCCCAGACGAATGCCATCTGCTTTCAGAAGATACCTGTAGCAAAAACTGCTGGTACCTCACAAATTTCTATTCTCTCCTTCCTGAGCAAGAGATTCTCAGCTTTCGGCCTGTGGCTAGTAGTCATAGAGCAGACGATGACCAGTAAACAGCAAGCAAAGAAATAGCCTGTTTGGTGCTCTGCCTCCACACCCTGACAGCAGTGCCTCCTCACTATTCATGCATTCATTCGGAAGGGATTTATTCAGATACGACTGAGCAAGAAGGCCACACACTGCAGAACGGCAGCAAGCACGGGGGCTGGACTCAGAGACAGCTGTTTCTGTTTTGGCTTTGCCATCTGCCAGCTCTGTGACTTTGGTCAAATCTAAAACTTAACATTCCCCAGCTGCTTAACAGGAATAACAATAGCACCTACCTTTTGGAGTTGCTGTAAGGAGTAAACAAGAAAATGAAATTAAGGAATTAGCACAATGCCCGGCACATGTAACTGCTTAAAAGCCTTGGTTGTGCAGCCTTAGGACAAGTCCCTAAAGGTATTTATTAATACCTTCTGGATGAATGCACGAACAGTAAGGAGGACCAGGTGAACAGACCACATCGTGTTAGACAGCCGCATCAGCAAGTGCAGAGGCCCAAGCACTACAGAAAATGTGGCCCATGATAGGAGCTGAATGAAAAGGGCAGGGTGGCGGGAGATGAGGCTGCCAACTTGTATTTATTATTGTTGTTGTTATTCTTATATTAATAATATTAGTAATATTGATAATGATATTTTTATTATGGGCTAAGCTCTGGAAATACTAAAGTAAGAAACAGTCCCTGCCCTAGAGAAACATTAAGTAGAATAGAGGAGATGACAAAGAAAACAGGAAATGACCACAGGAAGTGGTAAATGCTTTGACACAATAACTCTGGACATTCTCTGCAACCCAGAGGAACACTAATCTAAGTAAGGCTTAGGGTTTCAGACGTGACAGAAACAGCTTCTCACACGGTTTGATGGCGACAGAGTCCTAACAGGCCAGGGGCTCATCCCTGTAATCCCAGCACTTTGGGAGGCCGAGGCGGGCAGACCACAAGGTCAGGGGATCAAGACCATTCTGGCTAACATAGTGAAACTCTGTCTCTACTAAAAATACAAAAAATTAGCTGAGTGTGGTGGCACACGCTTGTGGTCCCAGCTACTCGGGAGGCTAAGGCAGGAGAATCACTTGAACCCAGGTGGCAGAGGTTGCACTGAACTAAGAACGTGCCACTGTACTCCAGCCTGGGCGACAGAGCGAGACTCCGTCTCAAAAAAAAAAAGTCTCACTTTCACCGTTCTCCAAGCCTCTAAGTTCATTCTTTAGGTTTGGATGGGTGAGTGTGTTTCTCACAGGATTAGGGAGAGAGACCAAGAAGGAACGTCCAGCTGAGCTAACAGGAAACAGGCAGGTGATGAGAGCCTTGTGAAAACAGCACGCCGGGTTTTCGTGGCCACCTTCCCCTAAGCCAGAAATCAGGTTCTTGACTTTCATGCCAGTGCTTTAGTGACTATGTCCACACCTTTTATTGTAGGTGGCTGTGAAACTCTAAGACACTAGTAGCTCTGAACCGAATTACCTGTTACCTGAACTTCAGTCAATCATCTGCTGTTTGGACCCTTGCCCTACCCCTGCTTTGATAAGCTCTCAGGATTTGGCTTCTGTTCAGACCTCCATTATGGAGTTCCCATTCTACCTGTGTTTCTCCTTTGGACTGACTTAATGTTTAACACCTGGGCCTACATCTCTAAATGCCCAGGCCTGAGATAAATAATCTAGTTTCACTTTCAGACTTGTATCTCTAGAATTATCCCAACCCTGAAGCTCTGCCTGGAACAATAAACAAGTCATCTTTACTACGACCTGCGACCGAAGCCCCAAAGCAAGGCCGAAGCAAAGGTCAGAAATCCAGAAGCAACATTGCAGATAAGGCTTGAAATGGAAAGGCCTCTCATGAACTTTCCAGGAAACTGAAATAAATCCTGTTGGAGCAGAAACCACTATCTGGACATGGATAGCCATCCCACTATCTATGATTAGAGATGCAAATGCCAAAGAAGTCCTGAATAGGCTGATGTGTCTAGAACAGAAAGCAGGTCTAAAGCTAAAGGAACATCTTGAAAACATGAAGAAACACATTGCCTTTTCTTTTTTTTTTTTTTTTTGAGACAGGGTCTCACTCTGTTGCCCAGGCTGGAGTGCAGTGGTGTCATCTTGGCTCACTGCAACCTCTGCCTCCTGGGTTCCAGCAATCCTTGTGCCTCAGCATCCCCAGTAGCTGGGACTACAGGCATGCACCACCATGCCCGGCTAATTAGTAGAGACAGGGTTTCGCCAGCGTGGCCAGGCTGGTCTCAAACTCCTAGCCTCAAGTGATGCACCCAGCTTGGCCTCCCAAAGTGCTGGAATTGCAGGCGTGAGCCACTGCACTCAGCCCACATCACATTTTTTAGGATAAGTTAATGACCATAAAAGTTGATATGTATGCACAAAATTTTAAGAGGAACAAGAGCATGAGTTTTGAATACAACTCCATGGTTTTTAAAAACCAGTATACTTACCAACATGAATATTATCTTTAAATGCCACATCATGGAGCTGAAATATTAAATGCCGGCTGAATTTCTCATCAGTGCTAGAATCCAAGTTCAAAACATCTTCAGCTGAGCAATTAACACCATATAACTCTCGAAGCGCTTTACACACATACTAAAAAACACAAGTAAAATGCAAATAATTTATATTTTTTGTATTAAAGTTTTTCTATAAGCAATAAGCATCTCTTTAAATATAATCTATGAGTTAAAAAGTCATTAATTTCTGATCAGGCACAGTGGCTCATGCCTGTAATCCCAGGACTTTGGGAGGCCAAGGCGGGCAGATTATTTGAAGTCAGAAGTTTGAGACCAGCCTAGCCAACACGGTAAAACCCAGTCTCTGCTAAAAACACAAAAATTAGCCAGGCGTGGTGGCGGGTGTCTGTAAATCCCAGCTACTCAGGAGGCTGAGGCAAGAAGATCACTTGAACCCACGAGGCAGAGGTTGCAGTCAGCCAAGATGGTGCCACTGCACTCCAGTCTGGGTGACAGAGAGAGACTCTGTCTCAAAAAAAAAAAAAGTCATTAATTTATTTTGTAATGGTTTTATTTACCAGAAAGTGTCTAATTCATACTGAGCCTGAATTCAGCTCTAAGAATACAGCCTCTGAGACTACATGGCACTGAGCATGAAGGCCATGCACAGTAGAAAGGCAGCAAGCACGGGGCTGGAGTCAGAGACAGCTCAGTGTCAGTTTGGGCTTTGCCATCTGCCAGCTCTATGACTTTGGTCAAATCTAAACCTTAACATTTCCCAGCTGCTAAACAGGAATAACAATAGCAGCTACCTTTTGGAGTTGCTGTAAGGAACAAACAAGAAAATGAAATTTTTAGCACAGTGCCTGGCACATGTAACTGCTTAAAAGTTTTGGTTGCGGGGCCTTAGGACAAGTCCCTAAAGCTTCAATCTTCTCATTTGCAAAATGAAGCTACTAAGAACTACCATGCAACATTATCTTGACATGAGCAAAAATGTTTATGAACTGCTGTCACTTTGGATACCTAAAAGTTAGGCCACAAATTGTATTTTTAATAATGTTTGGGCATTCTTCTAACACCACACTCCCCTCATGCTCTCTGGCTTTACTCTTCTGTAAATTCTCACTTTCTCAGAAAGGGCTTCCTTGATTTCCCTCTCTACATCAAATTCCCCCTGTACACTCTTTCTCTCTTTATAGACTTACACAGCTACAATTTTAGGTTGATTTATGTGATTAGTTTGACATGTTTTATCTATATTACAGAGGCTCTTCCTCCATATTTGTTCTCTCCCTCTGTAGAAACAGAATCCCGATTTTTAGCTAGATTGGAGGCCATCCAGAACAAAGACTACATTTCCCAGGCTCCTCCACAGCAGGGTGTGGCCGCTAAGTTGTCGCCCAATGGGATGTGAGAAGGAAAGTATGCCATTTCTAAGTGATCCTCTAACAGGCAAAGGGCATGCCCTCCCCTTCTCCATTTGTACTGACTAGAATGCAGACACAGTGGTATGAGCCATCCTGGACAATGGAAGAAGGGCAACATCTTAGGGACAGCAAAGCAACAAGCCTAGTCCCTAACAGTACGGAGCCACATTAGATATTACTTGGGGGAGAAACAGGTTTCTGTCTTGTTTAAGTCACTTTAATTTTGGGTCTTTATTATGGCAGCTAAATCTATCCTAATTTATTATCCTCCATTAGACTACAAAGTGTATGCCATCAGAAATTATGTCTCTTTGACTTACCACTTGATAATCCTAGTGCCTAGGCACAGTGCCTGACACTTAGTAGAGACTAAAAACTGATGAATGAAGTTGACTTCTGTACTTTCAGAGCCACAGAGAATAAATTCAGTGACACTTTAGGTAGGACAAGTAATCATATACTCCTAAATTCTCTTTCCCAAGATTAACTTTAATTAAAACTTTAAGTTACTTAAATAATTAAATTATAAAATCCAGGAGTTAAACTTATATGATTGGAAAATGTTGCCCTGAAACGTGGTCCTAATAAAATACATTAGCACCAGAATTCATTCTAACTGGGGAGAAGTGGCTTATTGAAATGTGCCAGTTTAGCTACTGAACCAAAGGGTATTTTATATTATCACTAATTATTATTAACCATCTGCTAAATTAACATAATAGCTAACCTAATTATGCCTCCTCACAGTAAGACTCAAAGGAAAAAGTACTTACTGGATTATAAACTTATTGCATACAAAGTAACCAATAAATGAAATTAATTTCAATGCAATCATTATAAAAAGCATTATATTAAGTAATCCAATGAGAACAGTTCTATCAACATGGTAAACATGTTAAATAAAACTGCTGTATAACTTTGAACTTAGATTTATACAGTTTCTTCCAACAGTTTTGCTGATGCAAAAGATTAACTGCTCAAGACTCATTTGGAAAAAGTGGTATAAAGAATAAGGAGAAAAAAATTCTAAACATCTACATAGTCTTTGCCATACCAGTGTTTATTAATAGTGTTACAAATGAAATTTCCTCCAGTGTTCATTAGAAATATTTCTAGTTTCTAATGCAATGTGGTACTTCTTTGTTAATATGTAATGTTAAGTGGCAGTGAAAATCTCTGAATCGAGATTCCTTGTAGCCCACGGAGAAACTACACAAGAAATCTTACTTTAGACTTTAGAAGAAAGTCAATATTTATGAATTATTAAAAACATAATTAGGCCAGGCACCATGGCTCACGCCTATAATCCCAGCACTTTGGGAGGACAAGATGGGTATATCACTTGAGGACAGGAGTTCAAGACCAGCCTGGCCAACATGGCAAAACCCTGTCTCTACTAAAAATACAAAAATTAGCCAGGTATGGTGGCACACACCTGTAATTCCAGCTACTCGGGAGGCTGAGGCAGGAGAATTGCTTGAACCTGGGAGGCAGAGATTGCAGTGAGCTGAGATTATACCACTGCACCCCAGCCTGGGTGACAGAGAAAGACTCTGTCTCAAAAATAATAATAATAATGATAATAATAATTAGGTTAAAAATTAAACAGAATTTACCAGCTGTAATGAAATAAGCATCTAAATTTATTTTTAAGGGTTCAATGGCTATTTTAAGAAAAACATAATTTGGGGGTTTTTTGGGGGGAGGCGGGGGAATTTATATATATTTATTCTGCTTCAAAGCCAGGATAAAGCTAATATTCTGTATATTTTTAAAATAGCATTCACATACATTTTCAAAAAGATTTAAAATCAAGCATGTAGAGGCCCAACAGAGAATACTAGCAGATATTCTTTATCAAAAACATTTTAATTTGGATATATTTTAAAAGTTATAAAATGGGTCATCAACATTATTATTCAGTTAACATTTAAAAGAAAAACAGCTAATCAATAAGTGTCAGTACCTACACTTAGGCTGAAGAATAGTCAGCACAATTTTAACACAACTTCCTGTGATACAATCTGAAAATTTTTTTGAAAGAATCCTAATAGAACTTAGCTGCACAAGTCCATGCTATTCCTTTTATTAGTAACTTCCTGGTTGACACAGCTAAATCAAAAATAAAGAGCTACAATATTTTTCTCTTAGTTAAAAACAGTGATAACTATATTTATAGACAAGGTTTTACCAATACTGGTTGTAGGGCCTTGAATAGGAATTCGTTTAGTCTGGGCCTTAATTTCCTCATTTCGAAAGGGACAAGATAAGATGATTTCCAAAATTTCTGCAAGCTCCAAAAATCTGATACTGTTTGTAGTCAGTGTTCTTGAGGTTCATCTCAGTACCCAATTTTTACAGTAAAAATTATTTTTCCTGGCTTTTACCAAAGTCAGCTATTTGTAATGGAATTCAGAGAATTAATATATAATTTTAATATATAGAAAACTTCCAAACTGACATCTTTTTCAAAGCATTTTTTTAACCAGACAGTAAAATCGCAAACTATATGAACATAAATTGAACTTTCCTTCCTTTTCACAGTTTACTCATAGAAGTAATATTAAAAAATCAAAGTCAAAAGGAACAGTAGCAAGAAAAAGAAGAGATACAGAACTTACATATTATGTAGGTTGAATTCACTGAATGAATAAGCCAATGAAGAGCTGAATAGATAGAAATAAGGAAAACTTGAGTCGGCCATTTACCTCGATGAGTAATGCAACCATCTTTTTCCCATCAGCTCCTGGGTTGGCAGGTTTGTTAAATTCCAAATCAAAATAAAGCTTGCACACAGCATTTTCAGGAATAACTTCATAGCAGTGTAAGAGATTTTTTCTAAATTGAATAATTCAAGATTGTTAAATTGATATCTTATACCTTTATTGATTGATTGACTGAGACTGAGTCAGCTCTGTTGCCCAGGCTGGAGTGTAGTGGTGTTATCTCAGTTCACTGCAACCTCCTCCTCCTGGGTTCAAGCGATTCTCCTACCTCAGCCTCCCGAGTAGCTGGGACTACAGGCACGTGCCACCACACTTGATTAATTTTTGCATTTTTAGTAGAAACAGGGTTTACGCCATGTTGGCCAGACTGATCTTGAACACCTGGCTTCAGCTGATCCACCTGCTTCAGCCTCCCAAAGTGCTGGGATTACAGGTGTGAGCCACTATGCCCAGCCTCTATCTTATTCCTTTTAAATCGTGGCAGTTTATCTTACATCGCAAGTACTGTGTTAACTGTGCTTTCACTACATACAAGTATGAAATAAGAACATGATAAAGTGAACTGTTCACCATAGGTTTATGGCTTATCGTATCAAGGGTTTCCATCAAGCAAAATGCAACAATTACATCCTGTAACATTATTTAACTGGAAAATACAGTCAATTTTACAGTGCTATTTATTTACAGATGAGTTTGATATTGTGTAATACCTCTATATTTGTTTTTAGTGTCACCATGAAACAAATTTTCTTTGAAAAAAAAATGTTCTTTTCAGGATGCCATATTCTTCAGATTCCATTAATTTTCCATGAGAATTTTTAAATTCTGTATTTTCATTGGAAGATAATATTTTTAAAATTGGTTAAAAAATTCTGAATCACCTGACTTTGATAAGCTCTCAATGCTCATGTTTGCAGTTACATTCTTTCTGGCATTAAGAGGAATGATTTTGACATGGGTTAAATAGGGAGAGATGCTGACTTAATTTGCAAATGATAATTTGGACTAAAGTTCAGATGGCATCCTATACAAATTAAGGACTTGTAGTAATTTGAAGAGGGAAAAGTTATGTGAAAATTGTATCATCAGGTGGCACAGGTAATGGAGGAACTCAACACACACATACACATACACCCATACACATCCTGGAGCAGTCAGTACCATATTTACATTGCAAGATGAGACAGTTTCAGCAAAACATCTGTCACGTTATCTTAATGATTTTCATTCAACTCTAACTGGTGTTGCATGTATATAAACATAAATAAATCCAGTTTCATATTTGCAGCTACTTAGCAACTTTCGAATAAAAGTATTCTAAATCAATATAGGGCATACATAACAATTTACTCTCCTTTTACATACATTACACAAGTCTGAGAAATACTTGAATACGGCTGGGCACGGTGGCTCACACCTGTAATCCTAGCACTTTGGGAGGCTGACGCGGGCAGATCATCTGAGGTCAGGAGTTCGAGACAGCCTGACCAATATAAAGAAACCCCGTCTCTACTAAAAATACAAAAATTAGCCAGGCATGGTGGCAGGCACCTGTAATCCCAGCTACTTGGGAGGCTGAGACAGGAGAATCACTCGAACTCAGGAGGCAGATGTTGCAGTGAGCCGAGATCATGCCATTGCACTCCAGCCTGAGCAACAAGAGTGAAACTCCATCTCAAAAATATTTAAAAAATAAAAAAAAAGAAAGAAAAAAAGAGAAATACTTGAATAGATCACTCAGTTAAAATAAAGCTAATAAGCCAGGTGCAGCGGCTCACACCTGTAATCCCAACACTTTGGGAGGCCGAGGTGGGTGGATTACCTGAGGTCAGGAGTTAGAGACCAGCCTGGTCGACATGGTGAAACCCTATCTCTAAAAACATAAAAATGAGCCGGACATGGTGGCAGACGCCTATAATCCCAGCAACTCGGGAGGCAGAGGCTGCAGTGAGCCAAATCATGGCACCGCACTGCAGTCTGGGCAACAAGAGTGAAATTCTGTCTTAAAAAAATAAAAAATAAAGCTAATAACAATTTAAAATAGTGATAAGAAAGTCAAGATAAAGCAGATACTTCTTTATTACTAGGTAAATAACATAAATATTCCTTTGTGATTAATAGTATAATTTAATACCTGTTTGCAAAAGAGAGATTTCAAAACTCCCTTTGAGTACACACATATATTCGTGTACGTGCATGACTATGTACGTGCATGACTATTTTCTCCCAGCACCTGGTGAGATATTCAAGCATTGCTATGACAAGAAAACTCCAGATTTCAATTCTGAGAGTAAAGGAGCAACTAATAGTGTGGTCACAAACTGTGGAGGCCAATTCAGCCTGAACTAATTTCACCAAAATTCCTAGGCAAAGGAAATGGAACTCTAGCTTAATGTGTGGTTCTGCTGCATGCTACCTACCTGGATTTATAGTAAAACCAAAATTCAGCATAGGTTGTCACAAGGTAAATACGTTGTCCATCTCCTACTTTGTATTCCAAAGCAAATACGTGAACGTCCTAAATAAAATCAAAAAAGATTAGAAAAATTCACAAAATGCAAACCTAAATTCAACTGTAGCTATTGAATGTTCATAAAGAATTTTTCATTCAAGTTTTCAGAAACTGTAATTTGAACATTTGTATTATTAAATACAAGACAAATAGTCACTAGGTTTATGTCATTCAAAATCTAATTATACCTATTTTTTAATCATTCATATAAAAGGTGAAAACAATTAGAATATGCAGACCGAAGAGAAAAAAGGAGAGAAACCACTCTTAAAAATATTACTCATTTGATTTCCTATGATAGTTTTATGAAATTAAACTTATCTTTTAATGATTTGGGCTAAAATTAATTAGTAAATTCCCTAGTACATATAAAAATGTATGTAGGAGACTTTTTTTGGTTGTTTTTATGAAACAAGAGTCTTACTCTGTCGCCCAGGCTGGAGTGCAGTGGCACAATCTTGACTCACTGCAACCTCTGCCTCCCAGGTTCAAGCAATTCTTCTGCCTCAGCCTCCCAAGGAGCTGGGATTACAGGCGCCCACCACCAGGCCTGATTAATTTTTTGTATTTTTAGTAGAGACAAGGTTTCACCATGCTGGCCAGGCTGGCCTCGAACTCCTGACCTCAAAGTGCTCTGCCTGCCTTAGCCTCCTAAAGTGCTAGGATTATGGGCGTGAGCCATCACACCCAGCCGAAACCATTTTTTTAAAGGTTAATTACTGTGATAGTGGTTTAAATATAATTGCCCATGCCTCCTGCCATAAAGTTTCTTCTAATAGAGCAATACATCCACAAGTTCTTTTGTTTCCTCTTAGCTAAAGGTAGCTGGTGAGCACATTTTTCTTTTCATGAGTGAAAAAATCACAGGACTCAGTTACTTAACCCTAACAAAAATCTTTTTGAAATAAATTTTATAGACTGGTGATTAGCAAGTCCAACAAGCATACCCCTATCTATATCTTTTTAAAATTCAAGTTCAGATGAATCTGTCAGTATTTTAATTGCTGCTGCTTGAATTAGGTTTACCCAAAATGACTAAGAAAGGTATTTCTTAAACCATTCTTATGAGATTTGAGTAAGCATATCCTGACTAGAGAAAAGAGGTCCTTCTAAAACTTCCAGCACTTGGAGCTTTTAGACAGTAACAGTGATCAGACTCACAGTACATTTCTGCTATCATATACGCATCTTATCTTTTCTTTCACATTTCTTTATATTCCCCACAGTGCCCAAGAAAAAAAGAATGTGAAATACACATCTGTTGCTTGATTTAGTGATTTTTTGAGCACCATGTTCTTTGAAAGGCTGACACTCCTTTCTCCCACTTGCTTAATGTGTTGAAAAAAACATGGTTCCCCTCCCTCTAAGCATAAAGCTTCATTTAAATGTCATTACAATTTTTAAAATCTAATGGGCACTGGACGTGTCATTCTTTTTCATTACTAATATAAATTAAATGGTAAATGATTCACAGGGATATTTTTCCTAAATTACATGCCATTAAGATTCCCATTAAATTCTCTTAGTAGAATACATGGCCTGAAATGAAGACAAATAATAGATTTAAAAAAAAAAAAATTATAATGAAGAAGAAGAAGAAACAAGAGGAGGAAGTGGAAGAGGAGGACAAAGAAGAGGAGGAGGAGGAAATTACTTCTTTACAGCTTTTAACAAAATTAAAAGCTTGAGCTTGTCGATGAAATAGTCTCCAAATGGAGGGTGGTTCCTCTGGCTTGGACAGTCTTGGTCTATACACTGAGGACAATGGTTTCCTCTCATAATGAGATGCTCGTTCTTCAATTTGCTTCAGTTTTTCTTCCCATTTTCTGTTCATTGGTTCAGAAGTACGGAGAGAATAAATCCTATCCCATGTAATATTTCTATCAATTACTACTAAAACAAACAACAAACAAAAAGGCCATTAATTTCTTTATTTAGAATATATTTTGTTTGATAAAGTTTCAAAACTCACTTCCTGACACTTATTTCCTTGTTTATTCTTGGCATGAAGTTTTACCACAGAACGAGAGCAAGGATGGTTATCAGAAATTCTTAGATCCTGGTTCTTCCTCTAACGGTATTATGACCTTGGACAGGTTAATGAAGCTCCCTGAATCTTATTTAATCAACTGAAAAATAGGAATCAATATTATCTTGAGTACTTTATATACTTACCTTGAAGATAGAAAGGTCATAAGACATAAGCAAATGATCTCTAAATTACAAAGCCTCATGTAAATATATGTGTTTTTTGTATCATTATGGTTTTTACTATATCCATTTTATTGTGTCACATGCTATGACCTTGTCCACCATTCTTGTGCTATTATTTCTCGGGGTAGAATTCATTTCTAGATACCAACGTACAGCTCTTCATTCCCTTTTCCTCTGTTTCTGTCCATGTCTCCTCTTCTCTCTCAACACAACTTTTAGTTGGGAATATGAATGGGAATTACAATATTGGCTAGTTTTGGATGTCTATAGTAATGGATGATTTTTCTTTCTATATAATACTTCCATGTCAACCATACCAGAGTAAGGGTGCCAGGCAATAATTTTCCAATTTGGGATTATAATTCATTTACAAAAGAAAAAGAATAGGTTTTTAGAAGAAGACTGGGAAAACTTTCACTCTAGATTAAAAACAGCCAAATCAGCCACAAACTCCTTGCCACAAACTCCTTGCACCTAAACTCACTCTCATAGTGACCCTCGGCTTGGCCATATGACTTGTTTTGGGCCAACATCACATTGACAAAAGTGAAGCAAGCAGAGGTTTAACGAGTGCCTTTGCAGCAGACTTGGTTATCCTAAAATCCTGCCCTGAGATTGCCATGCCATAACTCTAGCCTCATAGAGGATGAAAGTCCACATGGAAAAGAACCAAGGAATTGCAGCCAACAGCCAGCATAAGCAGTCAGATACATGAGTTGGGGCATTCCAGACATCCAGCCATCATCTGAATTCAATGCATTAGTAAGCCTGAGTCCCACAGAGACCTACCAAACTGCCCAGCCAACCCACAGAGCTATAAGAAAAAATAAATTTGGTTGTTTCGTCTTTTTTAAGCCAGTAAGTTTGGGGCTGGCTTTGACATAGAAACAGGTAATTAACAGAGTTCCTCTGTTCATTAATATCATCTTTGCCATAATTTACCTATGTGGAAAATAGATATATTAGGGCTTAAGTGAAATAATATGTACTAAATCATTTAACAGAATACGTTTGTGCTTATTGAGTTGATAAACATCGTCTTGAATTTTAGCAGAAAACTTTGCAGCAACACAAACTCATTGGCAAACGAGTATTTCCTGGAAGGAAAACCAGAATCTCCCTAAAAGATTAAGAGAGGGGGCCAGGTGCGGTGGCTTACGCCTGTAATCCCAGCACTTTGGAGGCTGAGCCGGGTGGATCATCAGGTCAGGAGTTCGAGACCAGCCTCGCCAAGATGGTGAAACTCCATCTCTACTAAAAATACAAAAATCAGCTGGGCGTGGTCGTAGGCACCTGTAATTCCAGCTACTTGGGAGGCTGAGGCAAGATAATAGTTTGAACTGGGAGTGGAGGTGCCAGTGAGCCGAGATCGCACCACTGCACTCCAGCCTGGGTGACACGGCAAGAATCCATCTCAAAAAAAAAAGATTAAGAGAGGGTAGGCCGGGCACGGTGGTTCATGCCTGTAATCCCAGCACTTTGGGAGGCAGAGGCGCGCGGATTACCTGAGGTCAGGAGTTTGAGACCAGCCTGACCAATATGGTGAAACCCCGTCTCTACTAAAAATACAAAAATTAGCCAGGCGTGGTGGCGGGCTCCTGTAGTCCCAAATACTTGGGAGGCTGAAACAGGAAAATTGCTTGAACCCAGGAGGCAGAGATTGCAGTGAGCTGAAATTATGACACTGCACTCTAGCCTGGGCAACAGAAAAAGAAAAGAAAAGAAAAAAAAAGGGCGGGGGTAGAACATCATGACCTTGTTAGAAAAAAAAAAAAAACGCATATTATCCACAGATTTCAAATCTGACATCAATCATAACAGACCTAAGAAAGATTATTCTCTCAGAGTTCTACCTAATTCACATAAAAATTATAAACTAGGAAACAGAAATATAATTCTAAAGGTACTAACATAAATTTCATAACAGGTATGCTTAGGAAAAATATCAATTCAACTGGATTGAGGAGATGAAGCAATTTTTTAAAAAAACTGCTTTGGCCGGGCGCGGTGGCTCATGCCTGTAATCCCAGCACTTTGGGAGGCCAAGACAGACAGATCACAAGGTCAAGAGATCGAGACCACCCTGGCTAACACGTAAAACCCTGTCTCTAATAAAAATACAAAAAAAATTAGCCGGGCATGGTGGCGGATGCCTGTAGTCCCAGCTACTCAGGAAGCTGAGGCAGGGGAATGGCGTGAACCCGGGAGGCGGAGCTTGCAGTGAGCTGAGATAGTGCCACTACACTCCAGCCTGGGTGACAGAGCGAGACCCTGTCTCAAAACAAAACAAAACAAAAAAAAAAAAACGCTTTAACTTGTCAATACAAAGTGATATTGCTCCTTATTGCTAGATTCTGAGTATTGAGTTACTTTGATCTGCTTCACATACAGCTAAAAATCTGCTACCCTTAGATAAACCTAATTGAGAAACTGACTTTCTATTATGAAATTTAACTTTTAACAAAGTCCACTGATTATTAGTGAAGAAAATAAATACAGAATGTAATCACATCTGAATTTAGCTAGTATCTAACCGATAACTGACTACAAATGACTATGTGGATGTTCGTACTTAGTGACACTGAAATTTTATCATGAAAAATTGTTTGATTTTGTAAAAATCTTGGTAGGACTGCAGCAGGATGAGCGGCAGATAAAACTCCTCAGACACCGAGTTAAAGAAAGAAGGGGTTTATTCGGCTGGGGACATCAGCAAGACTCCTGTCTTAAGAGCCGAGCTCCCTAGGTGAGCAATTCCTGTTCCTTTTAAGGGCTCACAACTCTAAGGGGGTGCGTGTGAGAGGGTCAAGCGGGGGGTACGTGACTGGGAGCTGCATGCACCAGTAATTAGATGGGAACAAAACAAGATAGGGATTTTCACAGTGCTTTTCTATGCAATGTCTGTAATCTATAGAAAACAGAACCAATTAGGTCAGGGGTCGGTCTTTAATTACCAGGCCCAGGGCGTGGCGCCGGGCTGTCTGCCTGTGGATTTCATTTCTGCCTTTTAGTTTTTACTTCTTCTTTCTTAGGAGGCAGAAATTGGGCATAAGGCAATATGAGGGGTGGTCTCCTCCCTTAGGACCATGGGAGTATGCCATACATGAACATCATGAAGTCACAATGAAAAAACAGCTTAAGACTCACTGAACTGGGGAAACGATGAGCGTCAACAGAAGAAGAAAGAGAAGTTCAGTACATACCATGCCCCCTTCATGTCTGCACAGTCTGAAAATTTTAACAGCTGGGGTGAGATCAGAAGACAATTGGGGCTCGGTCTAGCCCAGCAGGAGGGTTGAATTACAAAAAGCCAAGGAAATGGAGAACAGGAAGGCATCTGGCATTCTGGTTTGGGACTATCACATTCCTCATCCCTCCCCTCTGGGGGAATATGTCACCATATTAGAAATGCTTTTAATTCCCGGTGGTCAAAGAGTGTTGTCTTTCTTTTACATAATTGTGTATCAAAGCTCCTTTCCACTCCGGGACTGTAACTGTTTTTGGTAATAGTTTCCAAGTTCCAAAGGAAAACATTTATTGTATTTTAAAAGATTGGACTCTGCCAGGGCGGGTGCAGTGGCTCATGCCTGTAATCCCAGCACTTTGGGAGGCCCAGGCGGGCGGATCACAAGGTCAGGAGTTCGAGACCAGCCTGGCCAACATGGTGAAACCCCATCTCTACTAAAAAAAAAA